TAAACGGATCTGTGCAACTTTTGATAACACGTGATATGTACACTTTACTTGCATGTGATCCATAGGGCCTACACATTTAATCTCCATAACAATAACGACAAATTCTGAGTTAAGGGTAATAATTGAAATTTGCATTTACCTCGACGCCCGACCACGTCAGGGGAAGCTTGCAATCTGATTAACATCAGCTCCTAAGTAATCCTACATGCAAGAAATAACTTAAGTACATTTGAACTTCTGCAAGACTGAAGCATCTTTATATGTTTCAGTTGCAGAATAAACGTCCAAGGCTTGTGTTTGGGTCGTGACCTTTGTTCCGGATCGGCATTTCGATCAATCTCTCGTATATATTTATAATCCTTGCGCTAGGAGGTCATGTATGTAACAAACGGCACGGAATTCTGTGCGCACTTTCCATCCGACTTTTAGCCCAAACTTTTAGTTATAGAGACATACAGGTATTCCCACACGTCAAACAACACATATAGAGGATATTAAATGAGTGTAGGTAGATTCAATAATGAATTTATTGAACAACTTGAAATAAGATTACATTATGCGAGCCTTTAGCGAGCAAAATATTATTTTATACATTCAATAATGAAAGTTCTACACGAATATGATATTCTGTTTATCACATACCCAAAATAAAGACTGTTTAGAGTGCAAAAGAATCATTTTTCATTGGCGCACATAGTGCGCCTTTAACACTGTTTGTAAATCGGAAATGACGTCACGTAAAAAATATGCACCGTCGTTCAATACCATTTTTACGGAGTCACAGAATCGGCACGGGTGTGTCATATAAACAACGTAATAAAGATATCGTGCGAAATGCCTTAATTTATTGCACGTGTAAAAAATGTTTCAAGCGACCATGCAAAACACCCCATACATTATTATTTAAACAACACAACAATAAAGGCATTTGTGATTTGACTTTGTGTACAAAATACCATATAATTTCAAATTTTAATTCAGGAGATGTATGCATTTAAAATCAGAGTACTTACAACATTTCTTAAGTGTGATCATATCTGATATGCTAGTAATTACCTTTTGTTTACATGTAATATTTACCTTTTTTATCTATGATATGTGATATATACATTTGTAAACGTGATTTTTACCTTTTATTATATAAGATATGTTTATATAATTATGTTACTATGAAACAATGCCATCAGTGTATGGAACGGAAAAAAGAAAGAGAAAAACAGTATATAAATTCATTCTTATATTACATGATACAAATTCTTATATATATGATCCCAAAATGTCATGAATGTAATCAGATGTCTTTAATATATGAAACCGAATTATCAATATATTAGTTCAGTGAATTTATGGATCTATGTCATCAGTGTACAAAACGGAAAATTAGTATATAAGTTCATTTTGACTTTGTTTGTTTGTTTGTTTCATTTTACGCCTTTTCCCAACAGTATTTCAGTCATATAGTAACCATCGTTTTGACATTATTTGATACGCGGTGGTTTGATATACTGGCTGGTTTCTAGTTTCATATTAAGTTGTTTTTAATTATCCCCGGGGATATAGAAATAGGCTCCGTCCGTCTGTCCGTCCGTCCATCCGTATGTCCGTCACACTTTCGTGTCCGGTCCATAACTTTGTCATTTATCAAAGGAATTTGAAAAACTTGGCACAATTGTTTGTTATAATAAGACGATGTGTCATGCGCAACAATCAGACCCCTGCCTCCAGGGTCAATGTCGCACTTGCTCATTAAAGGTCAACATTGTCTATATGTCGTGTCCGGTCCGGTCACTTTCTTATCTTTGAAGGGATTTTGTAAATACAATTGTTCACAATAATGAGACGATGTGTCATGCGCAACAACCGGTCACCTACCTCCAAGGTCAATGTCACACTTGGATGTCAAAGATTAACATAGTCTGTTTCATTTTATTTCTTTAATAAATTTATTGTTGCATTTGCAGATCTAGCATTGATCATAAATTTGGACTGAAAGTCCTGAGATCCATATCTCAATTATTTGAAATAACAAACTTTTATGCTTCATATAAAACTTCCCTGAGGCGAGGAACGTTGGTAACTATGTTACAAATTCTTGTTAATATATTATCGAACTGATTACAAACTTAAACTAATTGAAAAAAGGACAGTCTAAGACAGTCATGGCCTTCCATACATTATAATTTACGTGGTTTGCAAAACGAGTTTATTTCTTTACAGAACAGAAGAAAATGCGTCATTTAGTAAAGCACATATATACAGGGAAGTGTAAGATATAAATTCCTGAAGATCCATAATAAAGTGTTTTTTGATAAAATCTCAGTTTACATTTACAACTATTTTATCGTACCTAATGCATGCGGGTCCATTGACGCAGTGAAACTTAATACATAACATGAAAGAATCTTCCTGTTTTCCAGTGATATCATTAAATAGTTGTTACGAACGGTAATGTATTAAAACATTTTACAACGTGACTTTTCTGTTTGCTTGTTTTTGTGTTTTGTCTTTTATGTTGATTTTTGTGGTGATTTTTTGAGTGTGCCTTTTTGTATATTTTTTTCATTAAATTGTTTAAATGTACATGTATAAGATAACTTGTTAGAACAAGAGCAATACAAGAACAAACAGTTAAGTCAAAACTTGTACAATAAGTACATAATCATTATACATATACATAGAAAGTATATATAATAAACAGTCCAAATTGAAAAACCAACACATTATCACAAATTAAAATAGAGGATAAACTGTATTTAGTTATAAGTAATAGTTGTTTTATGAGAAAATGCAATTTAAATATAAATTTAATACAGACAGAATTTTATTTTCAATCAAATAAGGCTTATAAGCCCATGATGACATAGTTACAGCATATTTACAAGATAACGAACAGTGCATATGTTAACATACAAAAACATTATCACAATATAATTATGACTTTACAGGAGAAGGTCATAATAACAAGTTATTCGTAAGAACGTAGAATAATGCAAATATTAATTTATGTTTGTCTTACATACACGTACTTCATATCTATTAAAATGATTGTATAAATTCTATAACATGCTAGGTTTTTCAGAACAATCATTTTTGGTATTTAGCAACCCTAAAAGTTTAATTACACTTAGATTAACTTAATAGTTACATATTTTTTATCTATTATAATAATTATTATTATTATTAATTTTATTATAAACAATTACCAAATTCATTGTACATAGCAAACTGGTAAACTCAGTATACCAGTTTTTTACTTTTTAATTCATTTTTATTTTTTATTGTGTGATGTTCTATTAAATGATTTGTTTAAAGTAGTTGTTAAAATGCATTCCCGTATCAGCAACGATAATTCAGCGTAGATTATGCGAAGACAGAAAGACATTACGGAATGCCGTTAGGGCCATTGCCTATGAATGTGTTGATCTGAAACGCGATAGTCGATAGAACGATGGTGAAAACGCGAAATCACGAAACTACGATGGTGAAAATGCGAAAGCACGATGATAAAAACGCGAAAGTACGATGATGAAAACGCGACAGTACGATACTACGATGATGAAAACGCGATAAACTATCGTGTTTTCACCATCGTACTGTCGCGTTTTCACCATCGTAGTTTCGTGATTTCGCGTTTTCATCATCGTACTGTCGTGTTTTCATCATCGTACTATCGCGTTTTCACCATCGTACTATCGCATTTTCACCATCGTACTTTCGCTTTTTCATCATCGTACTGTCGTGTTTTCATCATCGTACTATCGCGTTTTCACCATCGTACTGTCGTGTTTTTATCATCGCACTATCGCGTTTTCACCATCGTACTGTCTTGTTTTCATCATCGTACTATCGCGTTTCAGATCAACACATTCATAAGCGATGGCCCTAACGGTTTGGTTTGAATGGTTTGATCTGAAACGCGATACTCGACAGTACGATGATGAAAACGCGAAATCACGAAACTACGATGGTGAAAACGCGACAGTACGATGGTGAAAACACGATAGTTTATCGCGTTTTCATCATCGTAGTATCGTACTGTCGCGATTTCATCATCGTACTATCGCGTTTTCGTCATCGTGCTTTCGCGTTTTCACCATCGTAGTTTCGTGATTTCGCGTTTTCACCATCGTACTATCGACTATCGCGTTTTAGGTCAACACATTCATAGGCGATGGCCCTAACGGCATTCCGTAAGAAATATTCTTTTTATCTAAACTGTGAAAAAAAGGAAAAGAAAAAAGGAGTCAAACTCGTGACAAAATGTTTGATCTTATGCAATCACACGACTTTGCCAGGTTCACCAAGTTTACCATCCAGGATATCTACCATTGATATGCAAATCAAATGTTTTTTGCTTCTTTTAGACCCAAAATTAATGTTTGGACCTGTCATTGTATGATAGTCAGTTGTTTGAGAAGTAATCTTTTAGCTATAAATTCACGTTTTAAATACTTACGTTCAGGTCGCAGTGCTCACAACATTTTAGTTGTTGTTGTTGTTGTTTTTGTTTAGCATGCATTATGATCCACTGCCACTGCCATTTTTCGATTAAGCTGATTGGGCTAACATTTTCGTTTCTCATCCAAACTAAATGTTTTTACGATCGCTGACCATTTAGACAAAAATTGGTCGATCGCTTCCTGGGTGTCTAATTTCTCCGATCCTTACCAGTTCATATGAAGCGATGCTGAACAAAGGTAAAGTTTGAAGACTATATAGACTTTCCGGGCCTCGATTTGAAGGTTTACAAGTACAAATATAGTCAACTACTGATTCTGTCTATATAAAACGAGCAGAAATTAATCAAAGTTTGCTTAATTGATTATATTGTCAATTAATCTCGTATTTTAGATAAACATCAAGGATTCATTTTATAAATTACATCATCGTTTCATCAATACGCTTTACAATAATATATTATTGATCACATTTAAATATTCGTTTATCAAATGGATTTCTTTCTGTAAACCAAGATATACCTAAACCACAAATAGATTTAGACTTTCGTATATCAAATATTGATTTGCATTCATGAAAAAAGATCTTAAACTATTGAACGGGTATATAAACTATATACATGTAGTGTGCGTTACAAAAAGAAAAGAAAACCACATAATAATTAAATAGGACTATACATAACCGGTAAGGTAATACTTTGAAATACTAGTATAATCATGTACAAGTATAATGTTAAAATTTTTTGTATTATAGTTTGGGGACCTTTCTGTTGAAAATGTGTCCTAGTTAAATCGTATGCATATACATGCACAATGCGTTAACTGGAGTGCAGGTATTAGTTACCCGCACTCCAGAGCATGCCCATTGATTGGCTCATTTTTGCTGGGGTTTACTTATTGTGACGGCAGAGAAAAGGGAAAGCGTAATTCAGATGCTCGTTCAGTGGTTAGATTTTTCTGGGGTTTTAAATTGTGACAACAGGGAACGTGTTTTTATGTTTGACTATGATACAAAATAGAAAGAACATCAAAACACTCGGCAATCTGATTAATACTCGGGGGCTACGCCTCCTTGTACAAATCAGATAGCCTTCTTTCTATTACGTATATTTTTGGAAATCAGTTACGTCAATAGCTTTTGCAAATTAGAAAATGAAATATTGTTTTATTTAGAGTATCCTAGCTTGGTTGACACGTTTTTGTAATTGTTGCTGTACAACTTTTTAATAGTCATGTCAGAAAGCTGTGTTAATTATATATATTTTTGTCGAATGATGACTCACTCGGTCGTTGCATCATAATTTACATTCATTTACCGGATTTATATATATTATTAGAACACCATTTATTCAACTCACGCGTGCCTAAAACACTTTTTAAGATCAAATGATGCATTTGTTAGGTCGATAAGCATTATTATTTATAATATGTATTCTAAAAAGTATATGCAGGAAGTTGACATAATCAGTGTTTTACCCTTATCATTAATATTGATAATTATTATTATTATTATTATTATTATTATTATTATTATTATTATTATTATTGTGATGATGATGGTGATGTTAGAAAGAGCGTCGTTAAATTCCATTCAATATTTTGCTATGTTTTATTTCACAACATCATTACCTTTCATAGAACAAAAAAAAACACAATGACCCCTATACATAAAGACTAGTGTTTGTTTGTTTGTTTCATTTTACGCCTTTTTCCAACAGTATTTAGTCATAAAGGTGGGTAGTTTCCTAACCATCATTCCTGGAGAGTTACACCAGTACTAGACAACCTTCCTCCGCGCTAAACTAAAGACTAGTGTAATATAGTCGATTAACAAAGATTATGTACGAAACTTGGCACCAGATTCGAAATAAGCTACTGCACAATTTCATTTTTCCTGAAGGATAACCATAATTATGAATATTCTCATACATACATACATGCATGTATTTAATAAATTAAAAAAACATGCATTGATAATATAATAATCTTTACAGATTATCATGGCTAGACGATTAGCAACAAACCTAAAGGACGAGTACCTTAGTTGTAGCATCTGTCTGGACCAATACCAACAACCAAAGACATTACCATGTGACCATATATTTTGTCAACAATGTCTTACAAATCACTTAACACAGAACATTACAACCAGCAAACCACAAGTAGAAATTTCGTGTCCTGTGTGCAGAGAAAAGACTATTGTGAAATCCAAAGGCAACTTCGATGTAAAATCATGGGTGAAAGCTTTACCGACCGATTCCCTGGTAGGTTCGCTGATGCAGACTCTCAATATGCACGAAACGTGCGCAAGAAGTCCAGACGTTTTACCAAAACTTTGCAAAAGGCATGGCGGGAAACCATGTGATGCGTATTGCTTCACACATTCGCAGTTAATGTGTTGGGAATGTGCGGCACGTGATCATCGCACTTGTAATGTAGATTCTGCAGACAAAGCAAAACATTTAGTACAACCGGAAATAGAATCCATGAAGAAAGATTTGGAAAGTCACCTGACAAGGGCACGTGAAATGAGTAAAAGTGATGAAACATTTAAGAAAACTAAATCACATGTTTTGAAATCTCTTCAACATTTTGAAAGACGACTTGACAATGTTTTTACCTCTGCAAAACACCAACTTTCACTACTACGAACAGAGGTTGAGCACGTTACCAAAATGCATCTCGATGAAAGAAAGAATTTCTATGAGGCTGTGCAGTCACTTCTAGAGCTCAAATGTTCAATTGAGATATCGTCGACGGAGCAAGAAGCTGGCAAACTTTTCGCATCGCTAGAAAATCTGAAGAAAGAAATGGAATCAAGTGTCAGTCAGTTTAAATCGATTGGAAAGGAAAACGAAAGTTGTGGTGAACATTACGTTAAGTTTGTAGTAGATGAGAGGCTTCAAGATTTTCTAAATGGTTATTCTAGTGTAGGATTTATCGACTCAAACGTGCCGGGATCTTCCTCGGCTGTGGACAGTCTAAGCACACCGCGATCAGCGCCTGTATCATTGTCACACATATTTAAACGTTCTCAGTCAGACAGTTCAGTGAATGATGCGGATTAACGTTTTATTCCTTCTGCAACAGCAGTTGTTTTAACGTGTGGGTACGGTGATCTAGTTCTTTAGATGTCAGTCACGTAGATCTACGAAAAGATCGTGGATTCTAGTCCTACATTGGTCTTGAAATAGAATTATACTTGTAAAGGGGAACAAAATCAAAAGCAAATATTCTACTTGAATCGAAATTAAACCATTAGAATTGTGTTTGTTATAATATATGCAGTTTTCAGAAAACGTTTTAGTAACCCTTAAAATGACGAAAATTCAATCTTATTTGGATAGAAACCATGTAGAACACATTATATGGAATGAAAACAGAAAAAATGTTGACAGTTTCTAATTTTCTTCTTATTTCTTTTAACATGGGAGAATTGTTTTGGTATAAGCAGAAACAAAATTTATTTCATGACAAAGTAAATCTGTTTGGAAGATGATTTATCATATTCTGGTTATGCATCAAAAGTATTTTCGGCGAATTACGTTTCAATGGATCTTTTTTCTAGATTATGCACGAATCAAAATATATTTTGGTTAAATTACAGATAACTGTACAAATATTAGTATTAAGTGGCTTTAACCATTTCCTGTCAAATAAAATTCTGTTCTCAATTTTATTTCTTCCCAAGAACAGTGTCGTGCGACACGGTAGTTTCATGCAGAAAATTACTGCTGGATCCTTCTTCAAACTATTTAGTTCGGTTATTTCTATACTTCATCATTTTAGCATCATTAAGATTTCAGCCACATAATGACTCAACAATGTCGAGGACAATTTACTGTTACCCATTATTTCCTTTGCTTGTTTGTTCGTTAGATTTTATGTCACACCGAAAGTGTAAATGTCATATGGCGACTTTCAGCTTTAAGGGTGGGGAAGGCCTCAGGCGCATCTCGATTTCCGTGCATTATTTCAGGCAGCAACGGGCACCAAGGTAGAACTACCAACCTCCAAAGGTTTACTGGATAGTTTTAACACATGAAATATCGACCATCACTAACAGTGGCGAGGATGTCGAATGGATCTATAGCTAGACACAGAACTCAAATATAAATGTACAATTCTTTATTAACCGTACTAAAATAAGCTACAAGTGAAAAAGCAATGCCCAAAACAAAATCCGTGTAACTAAAACACATATATATGTGAATTTATAAATAAATAATAAAAATGTAAAACGATGCACAACGCACCTGCAGATCACAATTACATATAAACTAGTGTACATGATAAACAAAAAGACTATGCTGTCCTATCACTAACTTAAGTAAATAAAATAAAACAAGAAAGACCTCATAAGGGCAGAGTATATTTTATATGTGTATGTGTGTGTTTTATGCTAAAAGAGCGTCCCATTCAACAGATGTAGCATAACGAAGTAATATACCAGTATACAGACCAAAGACTTTACCTAGAAACAATGCCATGATTTATATTTCCTTAAACACCTTTCAGAGAGACCTACTCAGCATCAAGTTTGAATACCAAGTATCTAAGCTCTGGTTAGAGAACATAAACATAAAATTCTTCCTACGGTATTTCCCCAAGGCCATAATTTACATAGCTTGTAGAAGTCTACTAGATACATAAATTATTAGTTTCAAAAATGAAGACAATTTTCAGAAAATTTTCTATACGACTTTGTGTAGCAAAAGTAAATCCCACAGCAAGGTCATTTTAAAAGGTCATGATTTATATAACTTGGTCTATACAATAAAAGATCTACATGTCAAATATAAAACATCATGGGTCAGTTGCACTGTATTTGTTTAAATACATTTGAGCCGCGTCACGACAAAACCATCACAGTGCGTTTGCGACCAGCATGGATCCAGATCAGCCTGCGCAGTCCTATCAGGATCCGTGCTGTTCGCTATCAGTTTCTCTTCTTGTAATAGGGTTGGTAAGCAAACAGCATGGATCCTGATCAGACTGCGCGGATGCGCAGGCTGATCTGGATCCATTCTGGTCGCAAACGCACTATGTTGGTTTTGTCGTGACGCGGCTCATTTTAGTTTAATATGTTTGAAACGATTGACCCTAATTTTCAAAGTAATTTTCCTATTTGAATCTAATGTGTAAGTCACAAAAGTGATCACAGTCTGGGTATGGCCATGTCTTACCCACATAGGATGTATTTGTGCAAGGACACTCAGGAAATGTCCATATCAAACCTTGAATGAAATATAGTTTTATTTTATTCTTTTTTCATACTTTCTAGTGGAACATTTTTAGAAAGGATCTTTATAACAATCGTTAGGAAAAATATAACAATTAATCATTAGCTGCATTTATGAGTAATGGTTAATCAATTAAAGGTGGGAACATTTCAAAATACTTAGATTAATGTAATGATATAGGTTAAATTAAAGCCGGATACTTTTTTAAAAAATATGACCTAATCAACAAAATGAGGAAAAATATTTCATTTTATTTTTAGGTATATTAATACATGTTGAACAGTCTATTCAAGGTTAAAATATTTCAAAATACTTTGTTTAATGTAATGATAAAGATTCAATAACCATAAAAAACAAATTATATAACAGTTAAACATGTTCTAGATAATAACACTTGTTCAATAAATATTAATCAAGTAAAATAAATCAAATAACCCTATAGACATTACAAGTATAATAGTATATGTATAATAACAAGAGCTGTCTGTAGGACAGCACGCTCGACTATTCTAAGTGCTTGATAGTAAAAGAGCCTTGATATTGTTAAATTTTTTAAGTTTACAAAAGGGCTAATTTTTTTTATAAATTCTTGTTATAGGCCTTAGAGAGAGTCTAATTAAACAGTATTGGCTTGACTATTCGGAAGGTAATGTCACAAGGGTGTTTTATTGAGTATAATAATACTAATTACCTATGAATACATAAATTTGACAGAAAAGGTACAAAGGCTTGTTATTAAGATGTTTTATCAAGTAAATCACTGCTTTATTATTATGAATGCATAAAATTGTCCCAAAAAAGGCACAAACCCTTCAGTAGTTATTGAGATAACAGCTTACAAATGAATTTCTAAGTTGAAAAAGGGGAGAAAAATCAGTCTAAATGCAAGATAGAATTATGGATCTTTGTCAGTGACCTACAATTATGACCCTAAATGCATATGTGAAGTTTTAAATAAATATCTTTAATAGTTATGGAGATATGTAAAACTTGCATGTAAACATTAACCAAGAGACTAAGTAGAAAAGGGGATATGAATCAGCCTTAATGCAAGATAGAGTTATGGAACTTGGTCAGTGACATACAATTATGACCCTCCAATTATGACCCTAAGTGCATGTGTAAAGTTTCAAGTAAATATCTTTGAAGACCTTTAACCTTTAACCAAAATTTCTAAGTTTCAAAGGGGCAAATAATTCTGCAAATATTGCAGGCAGAATTATGTAATTTTGCAAACTGATGTACATTGTTACTATAAAAAAGCATTTTAATTTTCAAATGAATATCTCAAGCAATAATTGAGATATTTGACTTTACAAAATAACTTTAACCAAAATTTTTTAAGTTCCAAAGGGGCAAAATTCTGTCAATATTGTAGGCAGAGTTATCAAACTTGTCAATCTGATGTACCTTGTTACTATAAATAAGTATTGTAAGTTTCAATTGAATATCTCAAGGAATAATTGAGATATTTGACTTTACAAAAAACTTTAACCAAAATTTCTAAGTTAAAAAGGGGCATAATTCTGTCAATATTGTAGGCAGAGTTATCCAACTTGTCAATCTGATGTACCTTGTTACTATAAATAAGTATTGTAAGTTTCAATTGAATATCTCGAGCAATAATTGAGATATTTGACTTTACAAAAAACTTTAACCAAAATTTCTAAGTTAAAAAGGGGCATAATTCTGTCAATATTGTAGGCAGAGTTATCAAACTTGTCTATCTGATGTACCTTGTTACTATAAATAAGTATTGTAAGTTTCAATTGAATATCTCAAGTAATAATTGAGATATTTGACTTTACAAAAAACTTTAACCAACGCAGACGCCGACGCGGACGCTGACGCAGACGCGGACGCCGACGCCGGGGCGACTACAATAGCTCTCATATTCTTCGAATAGTCGAGCTAAAAAATGAATTTAGTTTCATTTTATTACTATAGAATTAACTCAACACGTTAAATTACAGTATATTACATGAGTCTCTAGGTAGCATTATTTTATAATTCAATTTTATACAACAAGTTCAATAAATTAAATAACAAAGATAAAGAGATATAATATTATATTTATCACATACCCAAAACAACAGTATAAAGTATGGAAGAATATTTTTGTATTGTGCACTAACAATTTACATGTTTTAATGCTACGTTTGTATATATAAAACAGACTTCACATCAAAATAATATGCACAGCAGTAAAATATATGATAAATATGTGATGAATTTAACATGATATACAGTATATAAACAAATTACACTTTTCTTTAACAAAACTGAAAACATAGAAATCGGTAAATAATACAGGAATCTACGAAAGACAGATGTTGACATTTCAACTTCTTGAATCTTTGAGTTCAACTTCCTGAATTCACAATTTCAACATACAGAATTCATGATTACAAGTTCTTAAATTAAATTCTTCAACTTAATAATTCACAACTTTTAACTTCACGAATTCATGATTTCAACTTCATGAATTCAAGATTTCAACTTCACAAATTCAACTACATGAATATATGTTTCAACTTGAAGATAAAATCTTGAATTCCTGAAGTTAAAAACATGAACTTATGAATTCAAGAAGTTGAATTCATGAAGTTGAAATCGTGAATTTGTGAAGTTGAAATCGTGAATTCATGAAGTTGAAATTGTGAAGTTCAAAATGTGAATTCATAACGTTGAAATCATGAATTCATTACGTTGAAATCATGAAGTTGAAATGGTGAATTTGTGTATGATGAAAACCTGAATTCATGAAGTTAAAATTGTGAATTTACAAAGATAAAATCATAGGAATCCCTGTTAAGTGGACTGACTAACAAGATAACACCAAAAATGTGTTGAAATTGGCATTAAAACCAGTAAAATAAACAAGGCCCCACAGCATAGTGTTATTTATCAATTTTTTCACTACAACACCTCTATACCTACAACTTATCTCACAAAAATATCTATATACGTTGTATCTATAACAATATTTATACATCACATTATCTATATCACAATATATATTTAACACAATATCTATATATCACATTGTCTATACATCACAATATCTATATATCACATTGTCTATATATCACTATATCTTTATATCACATTGTCTATATATCATAATATCTATATATCACATTGTCTATATATCATAATATCTATATATCACATTGTCTATATATCACAATATCTATATATCACATTGTCTATATATCACAATATCTATATATCACATTGTCTATATATCATAATATCTATATATCACATTGTCTATATATCATAATATCTATATATCACAACATTATATCTATCACAGA